GCCACATGGTAATCGTTGTGAAACGATTGGTCAGGTTTAGGCAACAAAACTCCTAACGTTTGAAAAAAGATCATTGTTTATGTTCAAACAAGAAATGTCACTCACAGCAGAGATAACGTAATAAAAACTCAGGGTCCAGACAAAATACGAGACATTACAGATAAAAAAATTAACTCAAAACCACAATAAGATCTCATGGTTTAAGATTAATGTACCTACAACTGCCCTTAGCGGACTGTCTTACGTTACGCAACGTAATATTACATAACAGGGGTAACAACATTACGTAACAAGCATTAAGTCAACATTCACTTTGGATTTTGACGGGGCACACAAAACAGTGTTTGACCCACTGTCAATGACAGTCGCTGGTTTTAATACATCACTTGCAAAAACTTCCACATTCAACACATCTGTGGTTTGAAGAAACGTTCAATACCAAAAACTAATTCCTTGGCAGCTGGGCAGCAAAATTAAAGGAAACAATACTTTTAACTATCATGTAGTCTCGTGCTGAATTACCAAACACACCAATATTGACAGCTCAGCATCCGTCATCAGCACACAGCTTTGGGACAGCACCAACTGACACATTAGTTTAAACTTGAGAACTTCTCTCCTTGGAGACTGGTAAGTCATTCCTTATCTGAACACAACACGTACACGTGCGCGCGCACACACACACACACACACACACAACGGCAGCGCTGCTTAGCATTCCCTCTCACACCTTTCATCATGTTCACGCGTGTCCGTTTGCTTCTTATCTCCGGATGCACACACAAACATGCACAAACCTGGAGCGCACGGATACATGTGCGCTGACGCACAGGTTCGGAGTGCAGCGGTGTTATCTGACATTAGGGCTGCGATTAGAACAGACACTCCACTGACTCCAAATCAGCTGAGACACGAGATTAAAAACAAATGCCACGGAGGACTCGTGCAGCCACACTGGAGAGACGGAACGAAAAGTATCTGCTTCTTTTTTTGAGTGTCATGTGTGAATTTCCTCCATCGGACGCAGCAGCCTGTCCTCATCAGAAAACCCTCTCTGTGTGTCAGCAGTGAGGAGTGCTTCTCCTTATTGCTCATGCATTCGAGGGAGCATTGTGCAGATAATTGGAGGAGATAAGTGGTCACCTGGAACTGCTTGGTTCTGTTTGTGGGCCAATTTTGCGTTGAAAATTTTACACCTTTGAAGAGTAGGTGCAAAACCACGCACACAACTCAGGCTCACTCCCAACTCATCAAATACCACGCTCATTTACCATGTTCATTTAGTAACTTATGGTCCATTTAGAGTCAAACAGACCCTAAAGCAGGGGATGCTTTAGGGCGGGGCTACTGTGATTGACAGGTCTCTACCAGAGACGTATACGCCGTCTCTACGTCACTCCTCCTCAGTCCAGATATGGTCACTTCCCTTCGCTGGTTGCAAAAAGCAAACATGGCGACTGCCGTAGCCAAGGCGTCACGATGACGACATCACTCACATCTCACTAGAAAGGAAATATCAGCTCTGTTTGTGTCATGCATTTAACTTAGAGACCCGCTTTTTACATTAGCTCTGCTGTTGCTGATGAATAAATAAATCGAACTGCTTCTTTTAGTTCTGTGTCATATTGCTAGGCAACGCATGTCTGCAGGAAAAGGTTTCAATAAATAAGTTGCAGAAACTGTTTTTACTTCAGACCTGCAGTGAGAGGTCACAGACATTCCCATCCACATCCAATTAGCCTCTTAGCTCTCTGACTACCGCTCTCTAAGTCTGGGGCTGTTGCAGAGAAACATCTTCTGAAGGTAGAGTATATGTGAGGCTTTTCTGTTTCACAGTAAGTGCTATGGATCAACATTCATCTCTTTTCAATTGCTTTTGCCAAGTGCTGAAAGTTCTGGCTTTGAAACACAAATTCAAATTGCCGGATGCACCCAATCCCCATCCGCTCTCCACACCTGCATTGTACATCTTGCATGACTTTGCTTTATGATAAATGACCTCCTCGCCAAATGTCTGTTGAATGCCGGCTCTAATTATCTGGTGTAGTCGTCTGTAATGTGGTTATCGGCAAAGGCTCATTTTTTATTCAGAGATAATTACAAAATTTTTGCAAAAATATGACCTCTTTCTAAAAACTGCATCTAATCTACACCATAGGGCTCTAATATGTGAAGTAGAATTGCCAGAATGTGTGTGTTATATATATATATAAATATGTATGTATATATATATATATATATATATATATATATATATATATATATATATATATATATGTCATGTAATTAATCTTCTGCATCATCCTATAACAGGAGATGACATTCCACCTGTACGTGGCACCACAATATCACGATGTAAGTTTGTACGAATCATCGATGTACAAAGCTAAAATTACTTTAAATCGTGTTTTTTCCAAATCATTGCATCCTGCAGAATCTGTGTCCATGGCAACGACATAACGGTTAAGGTCAGTGAAGGATGGTTGTGATTAATACAAAGGTTAGAACTTGTCTGTGATGAGACACCAACTCCAGTCTCCTGCATTAAAGTCAGACACCCACAGTGTCCAAAACTTCCTTCATGGGTAATAAAATAAATTGACCGTTTGCTAAGCCCCGCCCCCCGCTGCTTCCTAGTCTGTCAGCTGTCAGAGCTACATCACCGTGGAGTCCACACTGTCACGAACTGCACTCCCAGAAGACATATTTTCTAATTCTTTGGAAAAACAAAAAGGTGATTTCAGAGAGTCAGACAGAAGGTATGCATATGATATGCATTTCAAGGAAATATCCAGGATGTCAAACTGATCCCGCTGGGAAAACATGTTAAAAAGATAAAGAGAGAAGCTGAAGTCTACAGATCACATGTCAAAGTGAACCACTTCACCTGGAGATCGAGACAGAAGACAATGAAGGAAACACACTGTTCCTGTGAAGCTGTCGGTCTTTATTCTCTGTTACAATCATTAAAAAGCCGAAGCAGCTGTATAGCATAGCAGTGCTAACGCTAGTTAATGATGTAAAACACACTCTGCTGATGTTAGCTCCACAGGTTTTTAAGTAGAAACATAATGTTTTAGAAACATATATATCTCCTTCTTACCTCTGGTTACAACCTAATACAACGGTTTGTATGATATCTTAGGGAAAGTGCATCCTTTTTCGTGCGTTTTCCTACGAAAGCCAGCAACACTTGACATGCAAACAGTGTTTTAAAATAAACTTCTGAAGAACATCTGAATCTATTGTATGAGAGTCTATAGAGCAGAGCCGGACCGAGTCTGTGTACAAGGGGCGGGACTTAGCGAAGGGTCATTTTTAAGGTAGGCCTACGGATTTTGCAAAATGTAGGTTACTAAACTGAATACACCCTCGGATTTACATATTCTCCAAAGAATCTTGTTGCCATGTTGCAGCATGTTTGTCCGTTTTAAACTAAAAGTGTTTAAATGGTTTAGCAGCATTGGTGGTTTTTGTTTCTTACTGAAGAAAACAGGGCTGCTCACGAGAGACTGACATCAGGAGACAGAGTGCTCTCTCCAGCCACTCCACCCACGGCCTTCTCTAAATAAGTCCACTGCTGCTCCAGAGCTCAGGGTCACCGAGCCATGCTCCTGTGCTGCAAAAAAAAAACAGAAACATCGGCCCTCTCATGCCGGTTTTTACCTCCTTTGTTCACTCTGATAAATAGCTGGAGTCAGACCTTGCCCGTGGCGGTGCTTCAGCACTAACACAAAGTCAAATAAACCAGGGAGAGAGGTCTGGGCATCAGAGATTATGAAGTGGATGATGATGTACTGTATGTTTGCTCTCTGAGAGGACAAAAAATGGTTTCAAGCTGTATTGATTTTGAGAGAGACGGACGCGTTTTCTTCTCTTGGTTTTCTGATCGGCACTCTGCTGAGTCCAAACCGTTTCCCTCGTGGCTCTTAATCTCCTTTATGTTACTCTTTCATTGCCCATAATGTCCCTCTCCAGCAGCTGTTGTCCGTCCGAGGGGGATTTAAACCTGACGTGGTAATATCTAACATTCGTATGTCTGTCCCTACTCCGCCCACACTCAATCCCTTAGTGGCATTATTTCCTGAGATGTTTAATAACTCATATTTGCCCAGGCTAGTTGACTCCGAATACATTCTAATACAGCATCAGATAAACATTGACCCTTTGACACTCGCTTGATGAGGTCGCGTTAGCAGACATGTCCATCATGTACCAGCAAACAGCTCCTGTGTAAAACGATCCCTCTGTTGACATTTCCATCAACACGATCAGGATCCCCGACGGACCATAAATTATGTTGTGCGCTTTTTGGGATTGTTTGTCTTTTTTTCAGAATGGCAACTTACCAATGAAACGGTACCTCAGATTGTACACATGCAGCTTGCAACCTGTTTGTTTTACATTTAAATTCTTTATATAATATAAATGCAAAACAAACAGGTTTCCTGACGGCTTATGAAACATCCACATAAAGACAATTAGAAGAAATATCCAGTTGACAGAGACAAAGATGAAAAATCAGTAAACCGGATGCTTCTCCTCCTGCTGCTCATTTCCATCTCTATGAACAACCCTGATTACATTTAGATTTTTAACATCAGCACCGAACCCCCGAAATCATAAATATTTATTTACTCCAATAAGGAGTAATAAGAAATATGCCCCGCTTCATATTCAGGCAGTCATACTTCAAGGTTCAACCGTGGACTTTCTGCAGCCCGTGCAGCTCCACTGGAGCAGGTGAGGCACGAGTGCCTTGCTCAAGGGCAACTGTTTAATATGTGTGAGTGAGAGGAAAGTGGCTCATTTACATTAGTTGATTTACAACATGCACAAAGAAAAAAAAAAGAGATGGTAAATACCTGCATGATATCTGTTACTCCTTCACTTGGAGAAACACTTTCAAACATTTGAGATGACTGAAAACTGATCAGCAGCAGATCCACAACCCCACCTCTACTGTCGCCCGAGATAAAAAGAAATCTCACTGTACTCACCTCCTTTTGTTGCCCCGTACGAGCTGAGAAGTATCAGGGTGACCTGCGTGATAATCCCCCAGACTTTTTTACTCCAGAGATCCATGGTGAAGCGGGAGGATGCTGCAGAAATGAGCCCAGCCGGGTGAAGGAGGGAGACGACCTGCCTCTCCTCTCCTCTTTACTCCACTCCTCCTCCACACTCTCACACTTTCCGGATCCCTGCTTGAATGTTGCACTTCTGTGTCCGCAGCGCTCACCAGCATCCGCCCAGCTCCACGGCAATGACAGCAGAGGCTACTTTCTGTTCAGCGGCACTCTGCAGAGTGAGAGGGAAGGAAGGGAGTGAGGAGAGAGACTCTAGGAGAGAGAGAGAGAGAGAGAGAGAGAGAGAGAGAGAGAGAGAGAGAGAGAGAGAGAGAGAGAGAG